TTTTATCCTCAAAGGTTATTAGGTTTCGACAAATTATGGAGACCAGAGAACTAAAAAAAAAGGAAAAATATCAGAGATAGATAAGCCCAATTTTTTTTTTGTCTTTTTTAACTGGAATTAATACCATTTTAAATTCTTGCTTAGAATTAGCAAGCTAGAAAATACATTGGAAAACTCTTCCAGGAGAAAGCAAGTAAAAGCAATCACAATCCCTGTGACTCTCCAAACAAAAGTTCCTCGTGCTTTTCCACTTAGATACATTCACAGCAATGTTCAGCCATGGATGCTGCAGATGGATGGGGAAGAAAGTATTTCTTCCACTGAAGAATCAGGAGTGCCCCACTAGCATACTAGAGATCCAGGGAGCCAGGAAGGCGGTTTTAGCAAACTGTACACAAATAGAACAGTGGAAAAGGAATATTTGGCTTCATCATTTTAAGTATTTCTATATTGTTTCAGTTTTATGAAAGTCATTTAAACTTGTAAAAGGGACTGGGGGAGGAAGAAAGGAAAGTAGGAATGCTGGTTGCCTGTGACACGTGTTCAGCAGCTGCTTTTTTTTTTTTTAATTGTAGAGATGAGGTCTCGCCTGCCCAGGCGGGTCTCGAACCCATGGGTTTAGGCAATCCACTCACCTCAGCCTCCCAAAGGCGCGGGATTACGGGCTGAGCCACCGAGCCCGGCAGCAGCTGCTTTTGAGATCCTGCTCCTGACACCAGGCGTGAGATAGGGTGGGGAGGAGGGAAGAGGATGCTCATAGCACAGATCACAAGGAGATGAAGGCAGTGAAGGGGGGCGCAGGGTTGCACGATGGAGAGCTCGTGGCCTGGGAGGGAGCACCAGGGGGCGAGTAGTCAGAGGAGGCCCCTCCAAGGAGGTGACATGTGAGCCAAGCCAGAAAGATGAGAAGCTGCCTGGCCACCAGGAGTGCTGGGAGGACACTCTAGACGGGTGAATGGCCACTGCAAAGGCCCTGAGGCGGGACATGCCTGGTGTGTTTAGTAAGCATTGCTAGATGCCTGTGTAGGAGGAGGTGGACGGGACAGATTGTGGCAGACGTCAGGAGCTGTGGTAAGAGTGTGTTGAGAAAGTGAATTCCATGGGGTGTGGTGGCTCATACCTGTCATCCCAGCACTTTGGGAGGTGGAGGTGAGAGGATTGCCTGAGCTCATGGGTTTGAGACCAGCCTGGGCAACATGGCAAGACCACGTCAATACAATAAATTGTTTTTAAAAAATTAGCTGGGTGTGGTGGCACATGCCTGTATTTCCAGCTGCTTGGGAGTGCCACTGCACTCCAGCCCGGGCGAGAGAGTGAGACTGACTCCAAAAAAAAAAAAGGAAGTGTATTCCCCAGGCTGGGTGCAGTGGCTCATGCCTATAATCCCAGCACTTGAGGAGACTAAGGAAGGAGGATCACTTGAGGCCAGACTGAACAACATGGCAGACCTCATCTATACAAAAAAATTAAAACTAGCTGGGCGTGGTGGCACGTGCCTGTAGTGAGCCTTGATGATTCTGCTGCATATCAGCCTGGGTGATGAAGCAAGACCCTGTCTCTAAAGAAAAAATTTGAGCACCCCCACATAGCCAGCCTTAGAAACAAGAGTTTAATAAACTCCAGTGTACCAAGCTAAGCTGTGTGAGTTTTCTAAAAATGGCTCCACACTCTACATACCCATTTCTTTTTTCACAAGGCGTATCCAGGAGAACTGCTCTGCATGCCATGTGGGTCAGCCCCTGTGCACGTGGCACTTTGGGCTCACGCAGGCCCTTCCGAAGGACAAGTTTCCAGAAGCAGGACTGCTCGGGCAGAGAGGACATGTTTCATAGTTTTCAGCAGGTCTTTGCACACTCCTCCCAGGAGGAAAGCCTTGTGGACAGCGCATCTTTCTGGCCAGGAGACGCGCTGAAGGCCAGGCTGCTTTCTCAGGGGGAGACAGGCTTGGTGGGCTCCCTCCTGAGCAAGACGGGTCCTGTGCTGAGTCACACTCGCTGTGCGGAGGATTCTGGGAAATGCTGAAATCAAAAAGGGAGGGGGAGGGGAAGTCCCCTTAGCTTCCAAGGGAGGAACCTTTACCTTTGGTGTGTGTGTGGTCTGTCTCTTTGTCTTTCTGTTTCTTTTGGATCTGAAGCTTTTAATTTGCCACAGAATGCACTTCCCTTATGTGAAAGAGCCAGTGTTACCCTAGACCTGGAATTCTAATTTGGGGAGGAATATGACCTGACAAGAAACAATCTTGCCACCCTCCCCATCTTCCTTTGTTAAAATCCCACCGCTGGCAGCTGAGAAAGACAGAAAATGTAGGCTTTAAACCCTCAGGAACCCAAGACATCTTACTTCTTCTCTGGGTTCAAAGACTCTTTCTTGAGTTACAAAATGGTGACATCCAGGTGTCAGCTTTTCTGAACTCGTTTTTATTATTATTATAACACATGATTATGGTAAAATAAATCCAGACCCTTCAGGAAGGCATCAGACAGCAAATAAAAGTTCCATTTTCCCACCTCCTAATAAGACTCCTACTTCCCAGAGCAATCATTGTTCCTCATTTCTTTCAGAAGTTTTTTCTGCATATGGAAGCATGCTTTTCATCAGACGTGATCATGTTCCTCATTCTGTACATCTTTTTTCAAGCCATTTTTGTAATAAAAACGTGGCAGCCAGGCTAGGCAGTGGTACCTGTAGGCTCTGCGGCCCAGTGGCCTTGGTTTGAATTCTGACTCCATGCACAGGCTGTGTGCCTTTGGACAAGGGGCCTAACTCCTCTGTGCCTTAATTTCCTCATCCATGAGATGAGATACCAGCACTGTGATAGTGCTGTCGTGGGGATCAAATGTGTTCATACGCGTTTCGAGGAAGACCCAGGCCCTGCTCTGAGTGGCTGACATTCTGCTTGGCAGACAGGCAGTAGGCAGAGACACAAAGACAACCGCGGGTTGTGATAACTGCTCTGAGGAAAGATCAGAAGACCAAGGTGATGAGAAATGACCGGTGTCAGGGCAGAGACGGTGCTGTGTGGTTGTTTTCACCTCTGTGTGGCTCACTCTCTTGTCTGTAAAATGGAGATGCTAGGCAATAGTGGCTGTCTCTGTGGGCGGTTGTGTGGTTTTGTTTTTTGGGTTTTTTTTGAGTTGGAGTCTCACTCTGTCGCCCAGACTGAGTGCAGTGGCCACTCCCAGCCACCACAGCCTCGACCTGCCGGGCTCCGGCGATCCTTTCGCCTCCGCCTTCCGAGTAGCTGGAGCTACAGGCGCGCGCTACCACGCCCGGCTGATTTTTGGATTTATGGTCGAGATGAGGGCTCACCAAGCTGCCGAGGCGGGTCTCGAACCCACGGGCTCAAGACAATCCACTCACCTCAGCCTCCCAAGTTGTGAGATTACAGGCTGAGCCACCGAGCCCGGCTTGCTGTGTGGTTTTAACCAGTTAGTGTACAGAGAGCTCTCAGGAGGGTGCCTGTGCGCCTTGAGCTGTGGGTATTTCTCTCCTAGGGGGTGATGATGTCTCAGAACAGGGCTCCAGTTTCCACCAGAGGAATGAGACCCGAGCCCAAAGGCTCGGCCAGAATTGGAAGAGGAGGCAGGGAAAGTCAGCCTGGCTCTGGGGGTCACTGAGTGGAGGGCTTGGGGCCATGGAGACCAACCTTAGCTCCAAGAGAGCCACAGAGCCGTGGGTGACAATGTGTGGAGCCGGCAGAGGCAGCAAAAGACTGATCAGCCTGGAGGCGTGTGCCCATCTCAGGGTGTGGCCTGCCTCGGGTAAGCACTTACCAGAGCATCCCTCATTTCCCGGCACCTGCTTTGTGTCAGGTGCCAACCAAGTGTTTGGCAGCAAACCCTGCAGTGGCACCAGGAGGTAAACATGTTTTCCAGATGAGCAAACCAAGGTCTAAGAATTGGTGGGACTTGCCCAGGGCCCAAGGCCTATTTGCCTCCAGAACTCACACTGTTAGCCCCAGGCTGTGCCTCGATGGCCATGAGACCACTGAGTGCTCTGGGAGGCAGTGCGGGGTCAGGTTTGGGAATGCCAAAGTGAGGGTGGTGACCCGAGTGACCTGTGCTCACAGGCCACCTTCTGGAATGGGACGCCCAGCAGAAAAACAGGGGTGGTGATGGTCAGGGGGCGCCCGGCCTGCCCATGGTCCATGTGCTTCAGACCCCCTGAATGTGAGCTTTGCTTCTCTGTGTGATGGCTGAGGAAGCTGAGGCTCAGGAGAGCCGACCCCGGTCCTGAAGCACCCAGGCTGGAGGTGTGCTGCTGCAGCCCAGCAGGGGCACACAGGGCCCAGTCCGCTCACAAAGGCCTCTTGTTCTGCGTGATCCCACCCTTTTTCTGAAGCCCCGTGTTCTGGCCACTCCCCCCCCTCACCTGAACAGCTGCAGGACCCTCCTTAGCATTTCCCTACTCCCACCCGTGTCTCCAACCTCCAGGGCCTGTTTTCTGCCCCGACCACTCCCAGACCTCACCCACTGCCCTCCTCTGGCTCACTCTGCCCAACCCACGCTGGGCTTCCATCTCACTCAGACTCACCAGACTCGGTCCCCTCATGGCCGCAGCACTCCCCCACCCACCTGGCACCCGGCTGCCACATGGAGTCCTTTCTTCCCTCCAGGTTTCTGACCAGACGTCACCCTGAGAAAGCCACCCCAGCCCCGTCGTCAGGCCCCATCCCTTCGCCCAGATTTATTTGCTCCTAAACACTTCTCTCTCTCTGTCACATGTGGGTTCTCTCTCTGTTCATACATTCAGTCTTAGCCTCTCCCAAGAGCTGCCGGTGCCGTCTTCGCTGCTGTGTCCCCAGGGCCTGGAACTGGCATGGCCTAGAGTAGGTCTCCAGTAGGTTCCCAGGGAACGTCTGGAACAAGCAAATGTAAAGAATAAGCCAAGTTCCCCTCGCTGCCACAGGTGAAGTGGAGACTGCAGCCTTGAGCTCATACGGCATTGAGAAGTGACTCCAGCCTGCCCGTGCCCCTCTGACCCTGATGTTCTCGTTCCAGGCAGGTGGACACCAACACAAAAAATGTCTTTGGGCAGCCGCGGTTGAGGGCATCCCTCCGAGACCTCCGGTCACCACGGAAGAACTATAAATCCAGCATCGAGGACGACCTGAAGAAGCTCATCATCATGGACAACCTGGGACCAGAGCAGGAGAGAGACACGGGAGTACGCAGCAGCCCATGGGAGGGCGGGGTGGGCAGGAGGGCAGCAGTCCCTGCAGTCACTGCGGCCTTTTTCTGCCTGTGTCCTCAGCCTTCAGCATCTGCCAGCCCTGTTGGGTGTATGTGGATCTGTGGCTGGGTGTGTGTCATCACATGGGTCGGGGAGGGCCACAGTGTAAGCTGGCCTCAGCAGATATGGGGGAAGTTAGCAGGTGTGACTGGAAAGACCTGGGTCTTGTGTCCTCCAGCCCAGGATAGCAACGTATCCGGCCTCCACAAGGACGAGAGTGGAGCAGGGGCTCCCAGGGGAGTCAGGCTCTGTGCCCCAGGAGGGCGAGGCAGGAGCAGCAGGCACCACGGGCCCTCCGCAGAGTCGGCTTCTCCCCTCTCGTCTCTGCCTCCTCTGCTTGGTCTCACTGTCAGAGACCCGCTCTTGGGGGGCTCGAGATAGACCCCAGTCTTTCCAAGGTTCTGTCCCTCCAGCCCACAGCCCCGGGGGGAGGGAGCGCTTCAGCCCAGTGCTGCGCTCGTCCACACCCCTTCCCTGGCAATCCGGCCCTTTCCAGGCGCCGGAGAATCGAGTCAGTCGCAGGCCAGAGAGGGGCGGTCATCAGGGGAAGATGGGGCGCTGTGACCAGAAAGAGGGCAGAGATGGATGCCGGGTGGGGGAGAACTCACCACAGGTGCCCAGGACCACTGGACGCCTCAGACGACCCTGGGCTGGGCCAGACCGTGACCCCCGTGTCCCCCGTCCTGGCAGCAGTCACCCCAGAAGAGCCTGCAGAGGACGCTGTCGGACGAGAGCCTGTGCAGTGGGCGCCGGGAGCCCAGCTTCGCCAGCCCCGTCGGCCTGGAGCCCGGCCTGCCCAGCGATGTGCTCTTCACCAGCACCTGCGCCTTCCCCTCTAGCACGCTGCCCGCCCGCCGCCAGCACCCGCACCCCCACCCGCCT